TAGGCTCCGGCTAGGGGTTAAGGTATTTGCTCATCACTCCCCAATATCTCTATGTAAACATATCAGTGGGGAGTGATGAGGTCGGAGCCTAGATGCCAAAATCTAAATATGCTATACTGCTGTAATAAAAATTTCAAACGTGAGTTATCTGACTGAAATTCCTTTATGCCCCCTCCCTCTCTCTTTCTCCAGGCTGAGGGAGCAGTGGTCGGTCAGGTTGGATCAGAGGAATCAGCACCAACAGAGTTTCTTCGAGGAGAGAATCAGACGAGCTCAGAAAGCTCAGCAGAGCCTCAGGAAGCTCAGCTTTCCCTAAAAGTTCCAGATCGAGCTGGGGAAGGTTACAAAATCCAAAATCTATCTTTTTAGAAAACACATAAAATAGGCACCTTCTTAAGGAAGGTTTACCTTCTATGTTGCATTTCAAACTAGCATGGTAACATTGTTTTGTCATTACTTGTATATATTAAGGATTTTCCATTGGCCTGGGTTGGTCCACTTTAGCCATGATGGGCCAAGTCATGTCGTGATGACGTGTTTCCACTGCCTCCAGGAAGAGCACTGGCCTTTGAATCCAATTTGACATAGTGGCCAAACCATGTAATTACAGCAAAAAGCTTGTTATCTTATAAGCTTACATTGTAAAATGAGCAGCTGTAAGATGGCAGATTTTTTGAGCATCACAACCCTTGACGAAATGACATCAGAATTTGATCAATCCGGTCTGATAACATTTGTAAAGTCGGCTTGGTCAGCAGTAGACTCTAGTGCTTGCTCTATTGGCTGCACGATGTGAAAGCAGATGTGGGTAATTTTACACTGGGAAATCAAACTTTTTTGACTTCATGTGCCACTGAGCAGCTTCCATAGGATTTAATGGGGCCCCACCTCCAGAACTGTATCTATATGTGACTAAGGTGAGCACAAAAGGCAACAACTTTTACCACGTTCCCACGTTGTGTCATCAAGTCAAGAAAAGTTGGGGCAACATGGTTGCCTACTCATGGCTCTTCGCAGCATGGCTCAGTGTGACAACCTCCACCATAATAGAAAAGCCTATATGTTGATGTTGTTACTCCATAACCACATAATCCTTGGTTTAGTAAAAGTAAATAGATAAAATCTCCATCTCCAAATTAGTATCTTCAACTTTACCTGCTTGCTTTACTTTTCATCCTTGCAAAGATGTAAATTAAAATTTAAAAACCCAATGAAACTGTTTGGAAAATGTCATTCAACTTCAAGATTTGTTTGTAGTGTTGAATCATTTTATGCTGACACCAGACTTGTCATAAAAGTCACAACAGTGAAGAAGCTGAGGTCGATCCAGGGAGGGACTGTGATCGAATCATTGCTGTTCTGGAGAATTGATGTGGGCCAGTGCTGGGAAATGTGCTGTTGGTATGTCTTTTTCAGTTTTTAGCAGCCACATTTTTAATAAAGTTTGCATTAATAAAATTATTTTTGTGTTTCACGGGTTATTGAAAATGTCGGCAGCTTATTTATTATCAACGTAGTAATAGATCATTTAAGGCTGTAGTTGAATGAGGTCAGGGGACCTCTGGTGAATGTGTAAGTGGTTAGCTGACTGGTGGAGGTTCAGAAAGAGGCCCTGGAGGTTGCAGTAGGAAGAGACAGAGGTTTAATGAGGACAATAAGGCAATATGATTGGTTGTTAAGCAGCAGCCACAGCGTGCTGCAGAAAGGCATAAAAGGAAAGTAGACATAGGCCATATGGGTAATGTGAAATAAACTGCCAACAAAAAAATATAAATATTTTAAACATAATGTAATTTAAGGTGGGAATGAATTCAACTCCCTTAATTAAACTTAACGGTCCCTACAGTCCAGACAAACAGCACAGACTATACAAGCCTACTAAATGCCAGTGCATCAAACTAAAGATGAGGCTACATCCACACTGCACAGCCCTGCATCAGAGTAAGGGTCACAGCGAATACAATCTGAACTTAAAGCCTAACTTAAAGGAACCAAAGGTATCCAAATTCATCATTCATGAGGTGTTTTGTTCTTCACACACTCTAGCCAGGAACAAGTAGAAGAAACAAAGCAATGTGGCTTGGCTTCATGTGAGTGTATGCGTGGACTGCAGTTCTCAATCAGAAGTAACTGAGTGCAGGTGTCTCCACTTTCCACTTGGAGCTGGGGGCGTGGCCGGCCAAGACGGATCAGACAGCAGATACAGAGCTGAGCCATTTGTGCAGTAGTAAAATGCTTTTTTTTACACAGATTGAGGACTGTGCGTTTTCCATCTCTTAAAGTGCAGTCATGTTAGGAAGCGGTGACTTAGACGATGATTATAGTCACCAGTAACAGGCACAGACCTCCAGTCCAGCCTGGTATGGAACACAACATTTGTATTTCTTCCATACCTGCTACATTTGTTTCTACAGTGATGTTTGAGGTGGCTGTTACATGTTTCTGTATGTTTAGGCACACCATTACAACAGGTTTGCCCAATCTACAACAAATTCAGTTAATTTTGCCATTGTGTTGCCCTGTGATTCGATCTGCTACAAAATTTAAAGGTCTAGTATGTAACATTTAGGAGGATCTATTGGCAAAAAGGAATATGTTTTCATTAGTGTATAATAACCTGAAATAGGAATAGGAATTGTTGTGTTTTTGTTACCTGAGAATGAGCCTTTTATATCTACAGATGCTGTGGGTTACCTTCCATGGAGTCTGCCATGTTGAAACGCCATGTTTCTACAGTAGCCCAGAAGGAACAAACCGAACCCTAGCTCTAGATAGGGGCGTTTGCATTTTTTGCATGTTTCAAGGCCACTGTAGTTTGTAGTGAAGCGAGGGAGTTGCGATCTGCAATTACCCCACTAGATGCCACTAAATGCTACACACTGGACCTTTACTGGGTTCTTCCTTGGCCCATGCTACAGCCTTTTACCAAGTTTCATGAAAATCAGGCCAGCAATTTTTGAAACCCACAAATGGCACCAAAAACATAATAAACACACACTGTAAAACTGAGTTAGTTCAACTTGTTGCAAACTCAAACTGTTTGAGGAAACTGATTGCCATAAACCGTTTAAGTTTATCTACTCAAACAATTTCAGCATGAAAGATATTTGATTTGAGTAGCAGTAACTCAAGTATTTATTGTTAAGAGAGGTAAGAGATAAGAGATTTTTATTTGTCACATGCACAGTTATACATAGTACAATGCACAGTGAAATGCTTCTTTGTACCTGCAGCCAGTAGTA